GGTGTGTGTGCGTTTCATGATGGCACTGCTCACGTGTCACAGTGCATTAATGGAGCAGAGAGGTGAGTCATCACCTAATTAATGAGACGTGACAACGGGATTCTCATTGAGTTTGAGATGGAATTAACAATGAGTATGAAGGGAAGGAAAAACTTCAATCCGTGTTTAAAGTTTGAAAACCGTATTAATAATTAACACTGACCCAGACTTTTGGTGGGGAAGGGAACAAATAAAAGGTAACGATAGATAGGTTTATAGGTAAAAAGTATGAACAATCTATCTTCTAGGTAAGTAGTCAAAATCGCAAGATTACTTCTAAAATTGTCATATTACAAAATTTTGAAGGAATATTGAATTATATCTACTGTGAACAGTGAACAGTTTATAGCTTATATATATATATAACCTTTAAAAAATATATAATATGTAAAAATATTTTAAAATTGATTGGTAACATATTCCCCAGGAATATGCTCTATTGCCAAATTCCACCGAATGTGCCATTACTCATCAAAGCTACTTACACCTTCTTTAACCGAAATACGAAAAGGAAAATGAAAAAAGAGACTTAAAAATTGTACCTATAAAAGATTGCCACACTCCAATTCGTGATAATTGATGGAATCCAAACCTAAATTGAACGGTGGCCCTTTCTTTCATTATCTCCTGCCTACTAATTTGTGTGAAGGAAGTTCTTTTTGGTAGACATCCATCTATAACGTTTTTGTTTGCATTCTATAATTTCTAATTTTCAACCTAAATTTCTTTCATATACCTTGTTTCTTTTGAATTTAAGAGTTTTATTCTTGAAAAATCAATCCAAAATTAAAAAAAAAAATGATGTAATTAAATTGGTTGAGAATATAAGATTGATATCATATATCTTATATTAATAAATTATATTTTAAATTTATACTCATTTTTATATAAAATTATTATTTTGTTCAACATTACTTAATAAAAATATTAATAAATTGAAAGTTTCATATTAAATAAAATTAAAAAAGTTGAGTAATAAATAAGAAAAATAAAATCCATAAGCTTAAAGTTTTATGTTTGATATGATATCATATTTGTACTATATGGTCCGGACAGTCATAATGATTACGGGTGATTAATTTGATTGGACAATCATGGAATTATCTTTCACTTTGACTGGACGATCAAGGGCGAACGACCGTAAAAATTATGTAATCATTTAGGCAAAGATTAAGATAAACAACGATTAAAGTCATTGGACCAAAATTGGGCCATGATAATGATTAACATCTCACTATAAATACATGTCAAAGTAAGAGGTAGGTGGTTCGCATTTACTATGCATTTAGTACTGTTACATTGAATTGCCGAACGATACACATACTGACTTTAGCATCAGAGGTACACCTCCGAATAGAAGAACGAGACAGGAATTCTGGGAACGAAACCAGACAGTGAAAGACAACAAATTGTAAAAGTGTTTGGTGATTTGACTTCACAACCAAACAATATTTCTTTTATATATATATATATAACCCATATTTTTAAGGTGATTAATTTGTTCACTTTATCTCAAGAAATATTTAACACTAATATAAAAGGTTGTTAATCTATCTAATGTATTCTATTAAAATATTTCAACAAGTAATATCTAATATCTGAACTAATAATTTATTTTGGTATCGACTTATACAAAAACAAGTATATAATAGTAAGATTCAACTGCAGTAAGATTTTGTTATGTTATAAATCCATGTAAGAGTTGAGTAAACATATCAGTTCATAAAACATTAGTGTAGTTTGTTATTGCATCGATAATTTTTTTTAAAATATATTTGATTTTTGATTGATATCTTATATTATTTTACTTAAAAGTGATTTACTACTAAGGACAAAATTTTCTTGTGAAACTCCTCCACTATTGTCGCAACACCAGATTTAGTATATAAACCGTGATGATTGATGAACTATGTGATAATCATCCATGAGATAACTTCCACTTCAACTTATTACAACTCAAACATTTTACATTTTACAATATATCTTATGTACATAAGAAGTATGTACATTTCGAAAGATTCTGTGTAGTCTAATTCTTCATATTGAATATGTTTTATATTGTCACTGAAATTTTATATTCACATTACTATCTTGTCTTCATCTTATATCTCAAAATTTCTTATTCATAATTAAACATAAATGACAATTTTTGAAATTTTAAAATTGAAACTTAAAATATATTTTAAAACTAGACTATGATATTATTAAAAAATAAATATTAAAATTAATTTAATTTTACTATTTTGATTATGAAGTTAACTATATAAATCTTTCAAGTTCTTTACATTCAAATATGCATTTTTCACTTAATTGGGATCTTAATAAGAAATTATCTTTACTACCTCAAATTTATATTTATAAATTTTAAAATAAGTTTCAAATTAACATCAATCTAATTACCACTCAATAGATAATAATAATGTTTTAGCTTATGTTAATCATCATCATCTTAATTATTGTTTAAAAATAATTATTCAATCCGAATTGTCCAACCGATCACTCTTTAGATAATTTATTACATAATCACAAAAGTGTGTAGATTATAAGTCTTATCCTATACCAAACAACCATACAATACATTTACCAAATTAATTTAAAAGATAATATTTATACTTATTTATACACAAACAAATCACTAATTCCTCTAATTCATATAAGATGAAAAAATATATAATAAAATTGAAACTTATATCTTATCCCATGATTCTAACAATCATTACATATTTTAATACAGTCATATTAAAAGAGCATTTAAAAAATAGGTCCGATAATTTAAGAGTGCAATCTATTTTACACTAAAAGAATCCCAATAAAACTCTAGTTTTGTTTCTATCTTTTAAAAAGGTGGCAATGGATACCCAGTGTGTGACGCGTGCGTGCGTGAGTGAGAGTTCAGAATCACAGGTGCAGAGCAAGAGGTAATCGGTTTGGATCCATTTTTTCTCTTGCATTCTCTGCAATGTCTTCTGTTGGAAGTCCCACATCGACTAGAGATAAGGCCAAATTATAATATATAAGTGAGGTGCAAACCTCACCCTACAAGCCGGTTTTGTGGGGTTGAGTTAGGCTTAAAAACTCACTTTCTAATATGGTATCAGAGCCATGGTTAGTGCCTATCCTAGCGAGTTCTAAGTGGGCATTCTATTCTTCTATTCCACCCGCAATCGGGCCTCGTTATCGGACCACCCAATTTCTACTATTATAATATATAAGTGAGGTGCAAACCTCACCTTACAAGCCGGTTTTGTGGGGTTGAGTTAGGCTTAAACTCACTTTCTAATATCTTCTTCCGTCTTTACATTATATTTTATTCATAATTATAATATTTATTATTATAAATATTATCTCTATATAATTACTCACAATCGCTGCTCATTCTCTCAAAGCTCTTCTCATCACTCTCACCTTCTTCCTTCTCGTCTCAATTTCCATATCTCCTTTCTCCAATTGGTACTCTTTTTATGCTTATTTTATTTGCTCTATTTCAGATGTTAGATGCTTGTGAGTACGATGCATGTAATGTAATGAGAAATTTCTGTTTTGTTTAAATCATTTGAAAATTTGTTAGTAGAATTGGTTTTTGATTCTTACCTGGTTGATGATTTTGGTTTTTGATTCGGACGAATTTGGAAAAATCGGTGACTGGAAAATAAACTGTTTGATACGTTAATAGATAGATAGTTCTCCCTTTCGTGATCATCAGAATTTGTGTTGAGTTGCGGGAGCTCATACACACGGATACATAAATAGTTACTTGTTGCTTTATCATTTTGGTTTATTTGTTAATTTACTTTCAGAAATTAATGTTCTGCATAATTTCTTTTTGTATGGTAATCTTTTTCCCATTTCTCTTTGAATCCCTGCTTGCAGGATTGAATTGGTGATGGACATCATGGATCGACTAAATTCTTCTCCGCGGTTGATGCTTGTTTCGGATCTCGATCACACGATGGTATTATTCAGGAATTTAAACTGCGGTCATGGTTTCGTTGTATTTCTTGATATTATGATGCAGCTGCAATTGCAGTCTCAGACACCCTAAAAATCTTGACATTCCACCTGAATTGCAGGCGTTGTTATTTAAAACCTAGTTATTAGTGTTGTTGATGGTCGTGATTTGAATGGTTGATGTGTTTTGGTTGCAGGTTGATCATCATGACCCGGAGAATAGTTCACTTTTAAGGTTCAATGCGCTTTGGGAAGCTTATTATCGCCAAGATTCTCTGCTGGTGTTTTCAACTGGGAGGTCGCCTACACTCTACAAACAACTGAGGAAAGAGAAGCCTATGATAACTCCTGATATAGCTATTATGTCTGTGGGGACTGAGATTACTTATGGGAGATCAATGGTGCCTGATGATGGATGGGTTCAGTTTTTGAACCAGAAATGGGATAAGAACATAGTCATTGAGGAAACAAGCAAATTTCCTGAACTTAAGCCTCAGGTATGGTTTATAGGTGGTGATGGTGATGGGGATGATTTGTTTCTAGATTGTATTATTTGATTCGGGTATATAATTTGTCTTGTTTGATTCTGTGGCAATTCCTTAATGGTTTGCTTAATGACTGATGGTGCAGGCAGAAACAGAACAACGGCCGCACAAGGTCAGCTTTTATGTTCAGAAAGACAAGGCTAAGAGTGTAACACAGGCTCTTTCTAAGGTTTTGGAAGAGCGTGGGGTAAGCTATAATACGTTTATATTCATTGCTTTCTTTTCATGTAAAGTTTCAACATGTTTAGTTTAGTTTGAGTGTGTAAATTGGATTTTTTGACACCTTACTTTTCTTGTTTGATATTGTATATAGTTCCATAACATAGCCTAATTTTTGGCCAGTTGAATGTTAAAATAATATACAGTGGAGGTATTGATTTGGATGTATTACCAAATGGTGCTGGCAAAGGTCAAGCTCTTGCCTATCTGCTCAAAAAGTTTGAGACCGAGGGAAAACCACCACTTAACACTCTTGCTTGTGGTGATTCTGGAAATGATGCCGAGCTGTTCAGCATTCCGGGAGTGTATGGAGTCATGGTTGGTGTGGTTTAGCATGTGTTTATTGCATATTTTGCCTTGGTGGTAAAATATTGAGATTGACTTGCGTATTGCATTTGTTTCTGTTCGTTGTGTAGGTAAGCAATGCCCAAGAGGAGTTGTTGCAGTGGCATTCAGAAAATGCAAAAGATAACCCCAAGATTCTCCATGCCTCAGAGCGTTGTGCATCTGGCATAATAGAAGCCATTGGTCATTTTAAGTTAGGCCAAAACCTGTCCTCAAGAGATGTTTCAGACAGTAGACAAGAAAATTTATCTCCATATCTTGAAATAGTGAATTTTGCTTTGTTACTTGAAAAGTGGAGGCGTGCAGAAGTTGAGAATTCCGAGCTGTTTATTGCTGGTATAAAGGCAACAGTTGTATGTCTGATATCCTTTATCTTTACAAATTACCTATTGTGTGTTCTATTTGTGTATGCAGACTACCGAGCATGTGAAAAACTATCCAAATTAACTCCATTTTACCAAATCATTTTCTTTTCAAATGAAGTGTATACCCTTTTCTCTGCATTATTTCTATATTCTTATTTCATGGACTAACAAGTTCTGCGATTTACCAACGGAAAACTAAATAGTGAAGTAGAATTTTTTTTAATCCATAATAGCATATCTAGGGAGCA